TATTCTAGATTTTTCAATCTTTTGTGTATATTCTCAAAATTTTCATTTGCACTATTTTTAAGTAAATAAGGATAACTAGGTTTCTTATATTTTTCAACTTTTTTCAAAAATTTTTCAATTATGTTTTCTATGTCAATTATATTCATCATTATTTTAGGTTCGTAACATGGCTCTGATACCATTTTCGAAGTGAGCATGCAGAATTATGTTCTATTACTTAAATTTTTGAAATCTTTAAACATTCTTAGTATTTTCTAAATATTTTATTATATGATCCTTTGGTATATTATGATTTACGAGACTGATATAAAATCTAATAGTTAATCTATATCNTATGTTCTATTTCTTAGCATGCTTTTAAGAGATTTTTGAAATCTTTAAACATCCTTAGTATTTTCTAAATATTTTATTATATGTTCCTTTGTTATTTTATGATTTACGAGACTGATATAAAATCTAATAGTTAATCTATATCTTAACCTTTTATATGCATTATACCTCTTATGGAATTCAGGTTTCCTCATTTATAATTAAAGGACACTTAATGATATAATATCTAGAATTAAATCTATCAAAAATTCTAAGTTAACAAATTTTTGGGGACTTGATTGAAGTCTCTATTTTTTATAGTGGCTTTGGTTGCAAATTCTATGTAAGAGAGTATTTTAGGTAGTTCCTAATATTAAAATGGTCAAATGCTATTTTGGAAAAATGACCTTTCATTTGAGTCATTTTCATGTATTTCCCACAATACAAGGCCCATGGCCCAAACCCTATATCTTCCCCTGAAGGCAACAAGCAGTCTTTCCAAACCCCTCATTTTACTTGCAGAAGCTCAGAAAAATGGCTCCGAAAGCGAAAGAGAAAGCGAAGCCGGCCCCCGCCGCCCCAGCGTTGGCCATAGAGGACCTCTTCACATCCCTTAATCGCCACATCGAACGGTCAGAATTCGATCAAGCCGTCAAAATCTCAGATCAAGGTATATATACATCAATATATGGTTTTAGATTTTATATCTTTAAATCGAATCATTTTTGTTAATTTTTTGGCGGCGATCATAGTTCTTTCGATTGCGCCTGGAGATGAGGACGCTATTAGATGTAAGATTGTGGCGTTGATTAAGAACGATAGAGTCGACAAAGCTTTATCGGCCATTGAACAGTGTTCCAACAAATCTTCGATTGATTTCGTTTTCTTCAAGGTACATTGATTTATTGATTACATGTTGTTCCCCTACTATCACTGATTCCAATTTCTTTTGTCCTGCTCTGCACGGTTCAAGGAACTAGCAATTAAGCTAATAACTATTGGGTTATAATATGTGGCTATCCTGAATTTTTGTCTATTCTGTTCTTTTTGGGCCAAGATTATTACGAAGGAATGGCAACGGGGCGGAGTGGGGTCCATCTCGCTGACCAATTCCCCGCCCCATTACCCGGGGCGGGACAGTGCCCCTGCCCTGTTTATTACCCTTTTTTTTAATTCAGCTTTTAATATAGGAATGATTATGACATTTCCGTAATACAATAAATATAAAATCCTTAAAAATGAAATAAAGTTTAGATCCAAAGTACTTTATAATGTTATGATTAGAATACCCATAAAAGCAAAGTGCTTTACCATGTTATATGATTGCAATACCAATGCAAGATTTAATTTGAAGATTACAAAATAGCGCACAAACATCACATAATGCAACATTTCAT